GACTGCTGCGTCTGCAGGGGTGGGGTGGGAGGGGGGCTATGCGGGGACCACTCTGCGTCTATCCTTCCATTCATCCACCCGTATGCCCGCCTCCTCCTCTACTGCGCCCCTGTCCCACCCTACCCCTCTGTGCCTCGGTTTCCCCATCTGCACCTCGCGCTCACCTCGCTTTCTGGATGCGGGACCCTTGGGGAGTCCGGGTGGCGGCAGCGTGGGGGGCTGGCCGGGGGAGGCAGCGCGAGCGCGTGTCTGTGAGCCGCCGGTGCTGGGCGTGTACGCGCGCGCTCGCGGATGGATGGGGGGCAGGAGGGGGGGCGGCTGGCAGCGTGTCCGCGACCCCCGGGCGGCCGGCCGGCTGCGCTCTCCAGCTCTCCGGAGCAGATGGGCTCTAGGCTTCCGTTGGGCTCTGACTGCCACTGCCTGGATCCAGCTCTCGGGGCTGGGAAGAGGCACCTCCCCCTCCCCACCTGCTGGGGACCCCTTTTCCCCTGCCCCTTCCCGCAACCCCCAGTCGCCCCCGGGACACACCCTCCTCAAACGCAAGAATGGTTCGGTCCACAGTCTCATCAATGTTTTATTCAGCAAGTCCAGGTCCCACACACTCCGTGACACCCTCTCCCCCTTCCCTTCCCCCACCGTGAAGTGGCCCGGGGCCACGCTCCGCCTCCGGCTCCGCTTAACCAACCCCTTCCCAGCTTCCAGGAGTTTCATTTGCATTTCCGGGAGGCAGTGTCCAATGGGAAGGCGGCACTCTACCTCCCCTCCCAGGGGGGCGGTACTCCCGGTGGACTGCACCACTCCTGGGATCCAGAAACGGGGTGGGTGGGGGTGGCGACATCCAAGCTTGGGGGACAGGAGGTAGGTCATCTGAGGAGGGGGTTCTGGCCTTGGAAGAGGCCCAGCAGCCCGCTGTCCGGGGCAGGATCCTTGATAATCTTCTGTATCTGCAGGGGCAAGGGGGGCGGTGGTCAGGGAGAGTTGAGGGTCCTGGTTTGCCTCAGGGTATCGCTCCAGACTCCATTTCTCTTGTCCCCACCGGTATCTCTTCCCACAACACCCCGGCCTCCCTGTCACATCTACCTAAATTAGCTCCAATTCCCCTGACATTTTGGTCCCTTTTGCTGGCTGGGGCCATGGGTGGTGAGTGGTTCTGTCTTGCCCCTTGGGGAATCTTTGTGTACCCCTCTGTCTTAAGCAGCCTCATCCCCGGCCCCCTCCTCCAAGGCGCCCTACTCCCAAATCTCCAGCCCAGACCTTGACCTCGAGATCCGATGGGAGCCACTTGGGATCTCAAAGCCCCTATGCACTGCTAACAAGAAACTGCCTACCACCTCTGGGCACCTGGCCCTGGCTGCAGCCCACCTCCTCCCATGCTGCCCATTCCCATCCCTTCACAGCTCCTACCAACGTTTGCCTCCCGGAGGTCAGCAAAAAGGTCCCCCACCTCGACCTGTGAGCCACTCACCCTAGCCAATTCACCATACAGACAACTACACCCAAACCAAACCCACTGCCATCGAGTGGAGTCCATTGAGACTCAAAGCGACCCTGGACGCTGGCAGAACTGCCCCTGTGGGTTTCCAAGGCTGTCAGTCTTTACAAGTCGGCAGACAGCCTCCTCTTTCACATGCGAGTCTTCTGATGGGTTTGAACCCCTGACCTTGCACCCAGTGGATGCCTGTTCTAACAACCCCATATGGAGTTTGGCCCTGGCTGGAGATCTTTACAGGAGCAGACAGCCTCATCTTTCCTCGGCCGAGAGGCTGGCAGGGTAGCAGCACAATGCCACACCCACAGTGCTTCGGGGCTGCCACTTGCCTGCCACAGGTCTGATGGAGAGACAGCTCCATGAGCAAAATCCCACAGGTCTGGGGGGTGGGGCTTGACTCTGGCTGCCTCCACCCCCACCCCCCTCTATCCATCGGTTTGCCCACAACACCAGGAGTAAGACCCGCTGTGGTCCTGTCTCAGGACCTTTGCACAGGCTGCTTCCACCTAGGGAGGGGGAGGGGAGAGAGCCTTTTGGAATTGGAATACTGGTTGCCCCTCCCCGTCAGAGGTCACCCTGGCACTCCAAGGTGGGGAGGTGAGCCTCGAGTTTTCTGCCCCACTCTCAGCAGCATCCCGTTCGTTCTCAGTGCTTATGGACTCACCTGTGTAATGCGGCCCCCCACCCCCAACCCGCTCAGGAGGTGCAGCAGTTAAAGCGCCGAGCTGTCACAGAAAGGTCGCCGGTGTGGCTCTGAGTGGGAGAAAGTTGAGGCTGTCTGTTTCCGTGAAGACTGCGAACCTCGGACACCCACAGGGCCAGCTCTGCCCTGTCCTGCAGGGTCACTGAAGAGCCGGAGTCTTGTTGGGTCCTAACCCTGGTGTTCACTAAACGCTGTACTGTGGCCGGTCAAACCCAGGGGATTTTCTCTGGCTTGCATAAAGCTTTACAGCTTCTGAAGCTTCCTCCATGGGGTCGTGTGAGGTGGGCTTTCTCCATGACATTGGGGTCCGGGCCTCTGCCAGCCGGACTCCCTCCGCACCTCACTGGGTCTGGGCCGCCTCTCTGCGTCGAGTTCGCAGCGCCCCTAGAGGCGGCAGCGGGGACTGCGTGCGGCGTGGGAAGAGGGTTGGGGGTGGGAGTGGTCCCCAGGTGGGAAGTGGGGTGGTGAGGAGGCGCTGAAGCCCTTACCTCCTTGAACTGAGGGTGCGCGGCATCCCTCACAAGCTGCAGAATGAGTCCCTCGCTGGTGGTGAGGAAGGCACCGCTCTGGCGCATGCGGGACAGCGCCACCAACCTGTCCACCTGGCTGCGGTGGGGGGTGAGCGGAGGCGGGGGTGGTGTCAGCGCTGGCCGGCCACGCCCACCTCCTTCCTTCCCCTCACCCTCGGCCCCGCCCCGCCCCCAGCCAGGGAAGGGACCCCTCACCTGCGGGAGGAGCAGGCGTCCACCACCACGTGGACCTGCAGGCCGCGGTCCAGGAGGTCCAGGGCTGTGTTCTGGGGGCAGAGGGAAGTCAGAGACAGGCCTGGCCGGGAATAGGGGTGTCGGTCAGGGGTAGGGGATCCGGATCAGAAGTGAGGACCCAAGATGGGGATGGAGGGGAGGCTCAGGATCAGGGCAGGGCTCCCCAGTCAGGATGGGGAGGGGATACTCCAGTCAGGGCAGGGGAAGGGGTTCCCAAGAGGATGAAGGTCCAGGGTGAGGATGGGGAGGGGGAACACCAGTTGGGGCCGGTTATGAAGGCTAAAGATACTGGGACAGGCACTCTGAGGGGTCCCCCAGGGAGAAGTGGCTCAGGGGCCAGGCTCTCACCAGGATGCAGGCCTGAGCCTCGATGCCGCAGAGCAGGACGGAGCGCAGCTGCGCCCGGGCGTCCAGCTCCTGCTGCAGAGCAGGCACCATGCTGAAGCAGGTCTTCGGCAGTGGCCGCAGCCCATTGGCTCCCAGCTCCGGCACCGTGGGGCCCAGGCCCTGCGGGTACTGCTCTGTCAGCACTGCCGGCACCTCCAGCAGCCGAGCCACCTGTGCAAGGGGCCAAGGCCAGATCTGAGCGTGGAGGGCTGGGGGTCAGGACTCCTGGTCTGAGGAGAAGGGCTGGGGGTGGGCCTTGGACTCCCGGTCGGAGGGAGGCGAGCCAGTGCGGTACCTTGAGCATGCGGGCGGCCACGGAGACGATCTCAGGGAAGTAGACGATGCTGTGGCGGAACTTCTCCTGCATGTCGCATAGGAACAGGATGGATGAGCCGGGGTGCACTCGGCCCAGGCCGCCCCTGGCAGCCGCCATGTCTGGGGGGTAGGGGGAGAGAGGCCGTCGGGCAAAGGCCAAGATGCTTCTTGGAGACGGCTGTGGTGTTGGGGGGTTTCTTTGGGCTCTGAGGAGCAGCGGCCGTAGAGTCCTGAAGCGGGAGCGGGTCACAGCTCGCCCAGTCCCTGCCTGGGGGGAACATCCTCCCCTCTCCCCCAAGAGAAACTGAGCCGGGGCGCGGCTTGTTCCAGGGCACCCAGCCGGCTGCTACTATGAGGTTAGAACAGTCACTTACGCATGCGCACACATGCACATCTGGGGCCTTGGCTCCAAGCTGTTTAGTTGGATTCTATGTGGTGCGCCTGCACAACGGGGGTCCGAGGTGTGAATTCAAGCTTCAAACCTGACTTCCCTGAACTTCCCTCATCTCTCAACCTCTCCCTAACCAGGGGCCAAACCCCTTGGCTGAGGCTCCCTTCCAGGTCTTGTTCTACACCCAACTGGGTGAGAATCCACAGGGGTCTTACAAGCCTGTGAGTGGCCATCTAAAGCAAACTGCTGGTCTCTTCCCAGCCAGAGGGAGAGGAGTGAAGAAAATGCCTGGGAACAAGCCCCAGCAGGAACGGGTGCCTGGTAAGCATATTCCCCAACTCTGAGACCAGAAGAAACTAGGTGGTGCCCAGCCACCTGTTCTGAAAGGGCTCACAGAGAACCCTCAATACAGTCAGAGCAATCGCCAGATGCCAACGCAAAATCATTTAAAACCAAAAAGGCCAGGTTTACTGGACTGAAAGAGACTGGTGGGACCTTTGAGACTATGTCTAGACACCCTGCGGGCAAAGGTTCCTCCGTCAAAGGACTCTGCAGGCAGGCCCAGGGAGGAAGGGAGGGGCGTGGGAAACACTGGCAGGACGTGGGAAGAGTGCTGTTATGTTGTGGGGCCTGCAACCGTGCCACACAACAAAAACGGGTGTGGATCCCTGAATGGAAAATCAGTTTGCAAAACTTTTGATCCGAAAAACAAAACAGCAATAAAAAGAACCTGCTCTATAGACTCTTGTCCGCATCAGAGTAAAACGTGAGAACATAAAAGGGGTGTGAACTAAGTCCACAGGGAAGGAACACCCCATCCTCTGTGATCCAAGGATTGTAAATAATAAAATCCTCATCCGAAGGAGGGGATGGCATCAGCGCTTAAATTGCGGACACGTGGTTTTCAGAAGGCTTTGGGTGACTGTGGAAGCGCAGATGCCATTTGCAGGCCCACACGTGGATTAACCTCTGGTGCGTCCCCTTTGACCAGGCTCCAGGGCGGTGAACAGCCTTGCTATCAGACGAGAGCACTGGAAAGCCAACGATGGCTGATGAAGGTTGGTTGGTTAGTTAGGTGAACATGTAATGCTTTATCATCTGATCGTTTGACCCATTCTACAGTTGTTTCAGTTCTTAACATTCTCTGCATTCTTTTTGTTTGAGGTTTTTCTACATCTTGCCTCCTCATGGTTGTGGTTTTTGGTTTTCTTGCTTCCTGTCTGTGTTTTGAATGATCTTCTGTATGTGAAATCCAGGAGGGGTTGGTCGATAGAGACAGTAGTAGGATTGGTAATTGCCTAGGACAGTAGTTGTCAACCTGTCGGTCACAACCTCTTGGGGGTAAAATGACCCTTTCACAAGGGTCACTTAAGACCATCGGAAAACACGTTATTTCTGATGGTCTTAGGAACCGAGACTCTGATCCTCTATCTGTCTCCAGGCGGATCTGCCCACAGGCAGATATGCCCACATACGAGTATCTGGCGTGAAGACTGTTACCCATGCTACATCATGCTTCAAGACAAAATTTCATTTATTTGTCATTATAAATAAACATTTCACAATATATTATTACATGTTGTTTTTGTGATTCATCACTATGCTTTCATGATGTTTAATTTGTAACAATGAACATATATCCTACAAAAAATAAATAAATAAAAAAGAAAGAAAATACATGCTGCATAGCAGATAGTCACATGACGATTCATAACAGTAGCAAAATTACAGTGAAGTAGCAACGAAAATAATCTTATGGCTGGGGTCACCACCACATGAGGAACTGCATGAAAGGACTGTGGCATGAGGAAGGTTGAGAACCACTGCCTTAAAACCTACTGCCATTGGGTAGCCCTCTTCTTTGGGGTACAGGCATGGGGTGGGGGAGGCTGGAAGGAGGCGGGAGCTAATAATGAGTGCAAGAAGGAAGAAAATGTTCTAGAACTGATTGCAGCGGTGATTATACAACCCTTTCATATGACTGAACGATGGAAGTATATGACAGGTGAATTCTCAATAAAACTACTTAAAAGAAACACAAACACTGCCACCCAGCCAATTTTGACCGAGTGACCCTACAAGGTGTTTCCAAGGCTGGAAAGCATTACAGGAAGACAGCCTCGGCTCTCTCCCTTGAAGAGGCTGGTGGGTTTGAACTGCTGACTTCGTGGTTGGCAGCCCAATATTTCACCCACTGCATCACCAGGGCTCCTGAACCTGGCTTCGCCATGGCCAGCAGGTTGATTCTGACACACAGCAGGCCTTTGCAAGATTTGAGTCTGGAAATCACTCAGGGTCAGACCGTCTCCTCTTTCTCACACGGAATGGCAGGTGAGTTTGAACCGCCAACTCTGTGGTTGGCAGTCCAGGCCACCAGGGCTCCTAAATTCAGCACTAAGCCGGGATGAAGTGAGGAACAGAGATGGATTGCTGACTGGGTATGGGTTTCCTTGTGGGGTAGTGAGAAAGTTCTGGAACGCGATCGAGGTTCACAACTGTTCAGTGAAGAAGCGAGGTTCAGGCACCCCTCGCAGCATTGGGCCCTACGTGATTGTGCTCTGCAGGGCTGGTGTTTTCTTTACAAATGGGAGGTCTGCAGCTGCCTGGCTCCAAGAAAGCCTATAGGCGCCATTTCCCCCACGGCAGGGGCTCACATCACGTCTGTGTCGCGTGTTGGTCTCATGCACCTGCATGGACTACTCTCATGGATGAAACTTTGCCTTTCCCGAGGGATGTGTCCACTAGGCTGGGCCATAGTTCTCAGATGACGTAATTGGTGGGAAACTGAAAATCGGGAAGAGTATATTCCTTCTGGCAAACTCTCAGCATTCGTGCATTAAGGAGCCTGGGAGGCCAAGGCTCCCCATAGAGGAACCTTCACGTTCCATCCCACTCACATTCTCCTAAGTAGAAGTTACTCCCTACCATGCTCCCCCTCTTAATAATGCCAATTTTATGGTGCTGTTTGCAAACACATGGTCACTGACTATACACTTGGAGGTCAACTGCTTGAAGGTTATCTGCCTGAAGGTTGTCAGCCATCTAAGACCATCAGACCCTATTGTCTGTCCCACCCTCAGTAGGACCCACTCCCTTCTGCTAAGGATAATGGATGGTTCCCCTGAAGGAGAGCCCAGACACCCAAGGTCAAGGCAACTCAGGATCGACCAAGGTTAGGTTGCCATCTTGACTCTAGAGCCCGCCTATCTGGTTCCTTGTATGCCTTCCTGTCATGTGTGCCCCTAGTGCCTCCCCTTCCTATTGCATGTACATCCTAGCTCGTTCCCCTCCTGTTACGTGTATGCCTATTGTATAACCCCTTGGTGTGGCGT